TTTTTTTTTTTTTTTTATCAGAAGTAGTTAAGGGACTGGGAAGGTGGCTCAATGGTAGAGTGCTTGCCTTGCATGCATGAGGCCCTGGGTTCGATTCCTCAGTACCACATAAGCAAAACAAAACAAACAAAAAAAACCAGAAGTGCTGCTGTGGCTCAAGTGTTAGAGCGCTAGCCTTGAACTGAAGAGCTGAGGGACAGCGCCCAAGCCCAGAGTTCAGGCCCCATGACCAGCCCCCCCAAAAAAAAGGAGGGGGGGGGAGAAGTAGTTAAGTACCTGCAAACTCTTAGCAATTAGAAAATACTTTTTTCTTTCCCCCTCCCGGCCATGGGGCTTGAATTCTGGGTCTGGGTGCTGTCCCTCAACTCTTCAGCTCAAGGCTAGTACTCTACCACTTGAACCACACAGCACCACTTCTGGTTTTTCTGGTGGTTAATTGGAGATAGTCTCACGGACTTTTCTGCCCAGGCTGACTTTGAACTACAATCCTCATATCTCAGCCTCCTGAGTAGGATTACAGGTGTGAGCCACCCAGCTACAAAAAACATTTTTAAAGAGCAATTGGAGGTTCCACCTGCTAGAGCTTGTGAAGATTAATCAGTGCAAGAGTTTGGATGTTAAATATTCCCACAAAGTTCATGTGGTAAAGGTTTGGTCCATTCATGGTGTTACAGGGAGGTGATGGAGCCCTTAGATGTGGCCTAGTAGGAGGAAGTTAAGTTATTGGAGGGGTGTCTCCCAGGGGGAACTTGGCCTTCCTCTTCCTCCTCCACTTCCTGGCTATGTAGCCAGTGAGCAGTTTTGCCAGGAATGGAAGCTCTTCTTTGTTCCTCTTTGGCAAACACCATTGGTTTCCTACCCAAATTTATTTCTTCCATCACCCGATCTTTTAGTCTGAGCCCAGCCTGTTTCAGGATTTCACTTTTTTCTCAATGAAGACAGGCCCAAGGCCAAATCCAGTTGGGGGAGTACATGCTATGGCTCATTGCTCTTGCCACTAATTGGATTCGATTTTGTGTATTTCAGCCACAGGATTGGAGGGGATGCCTGATTCATGACTTCAGCAAAGGTTTTCTAGAGAAAACTTTTTGTGTGTGTGGTTCTAAGAAAACTATGACCTTGATTATGTGAAGTAAGTGCTATATCACAGACCTACAAATCTTCAATCATGAGTTATTTTCCCCTTCCCTTCATTCCTTATTCCTTCCCTCCCACCCTTCCCGCTTGCCTTCTTTCCTCCCTCCCTCCTTCCTTTCCCTCTTTCCTTCCTTCTGCCCTTTCTTCTTTCCTTCCTTCCCTCCTTCCTCTTTCTTGGCATATATTTAAATCATATTGCCATTAAATTATATCGTATCAGTATACATTCTGGCTAGAAATAGAGACAGGGTTTTTTGTTGTTGTTGTGCTGGTCCTGGGGCTTGAACTCAGGGTCTGGGTGCTGTCCCTGAAATTTTTTGCTCAATGGTAGTACTCTACCACTTGAACCACAGCCTCTGGATT